CCTTCCTTTTGACAGTCCTAAACAAATCTCCTACTTCTGCTAACCTGGTTCTCCCTCTCTTTTGTGACGAGGTTTTGGTTACCAAGCCTTCATCACCGAGCACCTGAATTCCCTATTAACCCAGGTCAAAGCAGCCAAAGTTTACGCTGCAGCGGCGCCAGGTGTGTGTGAGTGCGTGTGTGCATGTGTGAGAGGGAGAGATGGGCAGAGTAAGCAGCAATGACAGGGACCCGTATCTCTCCCAGGTCTTGTTCATGGAAAAAAAAAAAAAAAGGAAAGTAAATGAAGGGTTGTGAGCAATTTGCCCGAAACGACACAGAGCTGGAGGCTTCCATGTTCCTGATTTGGATAGGGGGAAGTCTGAGAAGGACCATTTAAGGAAGAAGGTCCTCTGGGGCAGCCCGAAATGTTTGGCTGGGGATCTCAACTGGGAGAAGGGACCATCCAGCAGGCTTCGAAGTTCATCAGGGGCAACGGTCAGCTGCTTAGATGCCCTGTTTTGCCCTACTGACTTGGTCTGGACAGCACCAGAGACTTGCTCTACCTCAACAGCATCCACAGGAGGAGTCAAAGAAGTCAAGATGGCAACCATGGCCGTGCAATCGAAGCCCTGCCCCTTTTAACGTGCACCGTACATGGGGCGTATTTGAAAAGGAGGCGGGGCTTCGATCCCACTGTTGCAGCTGTCATTTTGACTTTTTTGACCCTTCCCCTTCCCGACCCCCCTGCTGTACTCGGCACATATTTCTGTCATTTCAAGGCTCTAACCATTTGTTTTTAAACGATGAGATGTACTCTCAGGGACACAAGAGAGGCACCTCATTTCTACAGCAGTAGCAGTTAATTATCCGTGGATTAGTCTTACGACCGTATCAGAGAAAATAAAATAAAGCTAAAATGCAAGATCTAATTCCAGGGTAAAATAGATTTTTAAAAAATACAGTAATAAAATACACACGTGGAAGGACAAGAACCGGCGTTTGGATAAATACATCACCTTTACATGATACCCTGATCTGTTTGATATAACGGGTTCTTAGCTGAACTGCCTTGTCTATAAACTTAGCAGTTCTGCCCACAATGTACACACTAGAAGCAAAGTTTCTCAACCTTGGGAACTCTAAGATGTGTGGACTTCAACTCCCAGGCTGGCTGGGGAATTCTGGGAGTTGAAGTCCACACA